GCAAGTTTTGGTCGTATATCCTCGTCTCCCTTTCTTCTGTTGTATCTCTAGTTGTCCTCCATGGCTTCTCACGGCCCAATCAACGGTATCAAGTTATCTGGTGCGCCTCCTTCCTCCTCCATCTCGTCCAGCAATTCATTTCCTGATTGTTCGCCGTGTCTCATCTCAATGCATCCCCGCTTTTGTCCTCCGCTTTTCTCATTCGAATAGCCATCGATGACCCCCACAAGGTCATCAAGGTCCTTGCTTCAGATGGCAAGACAGGCTCACAGCGAGATATGGCCTACAACGGCTGCAAAGTCGTCGGCAACGGATCATTCGGCGTCGTCTTCCAAGCGAAGCTCGTTGGCCCTCCCGAGGACGGTTGTGAAATCGCCATCAAGAAAGTTCTACAAGACAAGCGGTTTAAAGTCCGTTGGCATCCTACACCACTGCACAATGCTCACGCTTTTTTCCAATCCAGAACCGAGAACTCCAAATCATGAGGCTCGTCACCCACCCCAACGTGGTCGAATTGAAGGCCTTCTTTTACACAAACGGAGAAAAGGCAGGCATCCTCTCGATCGCAAACATTCTTTTGCTAAATTTTATCTTCAGAAGGACGAAGTCTACCTCAACCTCATGCTCGAATATGTCCCTGAGACCGTGTATCGTGCAAGCCGTCACTATGCGAAGCTCAAGCAGCAGATGCCTATGCTCCAAATCAAGTTGTATATGTACCAACTCCTACGCTCGCTCGCGTACATCCACTCAGTCGGCATTTGCCATCGAGACATCAAACCCCAGAACTTGCTCCTGAACCCGTCCACCGGTGTTTTGAAGCTTTGCGACTTCGGATCAGCGAAGATTCTCGTCCCCGGCGAGCCCAATGTCAGCTACATCTGTTCGCGTTATTATCGTGCACCAGAGCTCATTTTCGGTGCGACAAACTATACGACGAACATCGGTGAGAGTGCACGATAAGTGGTCCCGTCAGAACGATATTGATTGGCTGGCAGACATATGGTCGACGGGATGTGTGATGGCGGAGCTTATGATGGGCCAGCCGCTGTTCCCCGGCGAGAGTGGTATTGACCAACTCGTCGAGATCATCAAGGTCCTCGGCACGCCTTCAAGGGAACAAATCAAGACCATGAATCCGAATTATATGGAGCACAAGTTCCCGCAAATCAAACCTCACCCGTTCTCCAAGGTACGTAGCAGAACATCCGCTCGCCGCTTCCATGATGCCTGTCCAATTTTACTGGCACCCCTCGTCTCATCCGCTTGACAAATATTTCTCTTGGCTGACGGTTTCGTAACAAGGTGTTCCGCCCCCGCACGTCACCAGAAGCGATTGATCTGGTCTCTAAATTGCTGGAATATACTCCGGGCGCGCGTTTGAGCGCCGTTGAGTCCATGATTCATCCGTTCTTTGACGAGCTCCGCGCTGAGGGTGCTCGTATGCCCAATGGCAAACCTTTCCCGCCATTGTTCGACTTCTCACGCGAAGGTATTTCCTTTTCTTGTCTTAGCTTTGGAAGAAAGCCAAACCAACGACGAATCTTCCCTTTGTGTAGAGTTGTCCGTCCGCCCCGACCTTATCCGACAACTTGTGCCGCCGCACACCATACCGGAGCTGGCCTCTCGGTCTGTCGATATTAACAACTTCGTACCTATACCTGCCGAGGACCTCAAGATCTCATTGGACTAGGTGATGTGAAGCAGCCAAGATCACGGCACTGGCTAGTTCGGTGGCAGGCTGCGGGCCTCGAGAAGGTCTCTTCGTCTCCTTGAAGTCGTAGTTAGCAGCTGCTCAGGGCCTGACTGGAAGATGATGACGATGATGATTTGATAGTCTACGTATCTTTGCATGTTGTTGTGTTGTGTTTTCTCTTTCTCTATTTCCGGCGGTCTTCGACGGCGTCCCTGTTTGCCTGATGATAAGTATTGAACGTTGGTAGCGCGGTTCTCTCGTCACGATGTTCTTCGCCCTTCTCTCCTACAATATGTATGTGTCCGCCCGTCTTACTGCAGGCAACTCAGCTAGCGTTGTGTACCGTGTCGGTCTACCCTGTCTGGCATGGTGTTACACTGTATTTTGCGCCCGATGAAGCCCCCACCTCAGGTGGGATGGGGGGCACTCCCGCCAAATGTATCATCCAAAATGGCCATTTCCGTATCGTCGAAATATGGACGAAATACTACATCTGACTGGGGGAGACGATTTTGGCACATACACATGTAAAATGCGTATTCATTTTTTTTTTCTTTTTCGCGATTATTTTACTACCATAGATGGAATATAATAAAATATGAGCAATTGTGACAACATTTAAACATTTTGTTGAAAAATGAGAAAGAAATATATTTTCTATCAAAATAGTTTGCCATGTTTGTCACATCGTGTGGTAGCCTTACGGAGACAGACGGAAACGAGTGGCCCCTACCTACACCCTCACTCTTGTTGTCATTGTGTGGGTGTCCCGGACATTGGAAATTCCTTTCGACAGAATGTGAATCATCCATTGAGGGGTCCGCGAATTATAATTATACATATCACGTGTCTAGAGTCCACTTCAAAATATCCATCCTTATTTCTCAAACACATATGAACGAGACGTGCACCATATTTTTTTTGAAGTGGTGCCCCCTGTAGTCTCAGAACCGCTTGCACAACGCTATTGCCATTTTACATCCCGAGCCTACAATGCTGCTAAGGAGAGCATGTGCAGGTGCGCGTTGCGAATAGTTTTCAACTGCAATATCCAAATGTTCCAATTCGTCGTCCCGAAACTCGCGGATGACGTCTCGCAACAATGGGACGCTTGGATGATCGGTAGGCAGGGATTCCATCTCTTCGAGTTGACTGCGTCCAATCGTGAGCGAAGACCTATGGGGACTGACAAGTGACTAACTACTCAACTCGTCATAATGTTCACCGATGACTGTTTCAACGGCTTCAGTACAAGCCATGGCGGCCTCGCGACTCATAAGTGCCGTGGCGGCGCCAAGGCCGAATCCAGCAACACGAGCCACATCGGCGAAGACAGTCGGACGGACGCGGTGCTGCACCTGCATCAGGTCCATAACTGCGATATGTTTCTTCTCCTGATCCCACATTTCCTGCAAAAAAGAAAAAGCAGAGCGGCGGCACACGTTACCCCACACGGACGGGATGTGACAAGGAGAGGAGCGCAAACCTGGATGAGATCTCTCGTCTGCGGGTCACGCCCAAGGACGGCCATTTGACCCTTGTAGATCCAATTGGCGGCGATTTCCCCAGCCTGATCAACACGCAGGGCACTGTCAAGAGCCGCTCGCTGTTCACGGGTGAGGCCAGACGGCGTCGTCGTCGTTGCGGGGTCTGGTGAGCCGGATTTTGGCTTGGTATATGCGTCGGACACCATCGGCGCACTCGAAGAGATGGAGTACAGCCGAACGCATCGCGCCAGTCTTGAAGATAGTCTAATAGAGTCAGAAAGCAACAGGCTCATTGTTGCCAACGGTGCAGAGCGAAAGACCCGCAGAGTCGATTGAGTCTGGACGGTGCCGAAGCGTTGTGTTCCAGTGTGTTCCGCGGAGACAAAATAGGCAACTGCTGCCATCGTTACCGAACTTAGCAACGAACCTTCATCCAAGGCTTCAAAATTTTCACCCTCTTTTTTACCCATTTGTTCATTGTACTTACACCTGTACGGCCCACGCTTGTTTATACGGAATGTCCGAAGCCCGAATCTTTACTCCGAGCGATGCAATCGACATGGCTGAAGAGAAGCACTGGGGCCCTGCGTTAGGTGACTGGTAGCTCAGATAACTGAGCGAATGCTGTTTTGTGTTGACATGGTGCCGCGTCGATGTCTTTTGACAGGAATGTTGGACTGGGATGAGACCAACATTATCTTTACAAAGAGATCTCTTATTGAATTTCTGAAGTCAGTTGAACCCTTCTCAGTCGTGATCTCTAGTTGGATTGAAGCCTCACCGACAGATATACGGGGACGACGGTTGATACAAACTTCATGAATATTCAGAAACTTCCTCGTGCGCCATACTTCGACTAACTGTTGTCTTACAATCGTTTTGAAATGTATTTCATTTCACGCCACAGGATATGCCAAGTTCGGCAAGATTGGCGGCTTGTCCAGCGAGGAAGCACCGACTGCTTCCAGCGAGTCAGGCGCCGCGTTGTCAGGTTTGTTTTATTTACATGCTGCTGAGCCTGTGAGCCATATAATACTGTGGACGTACTTCATAGCTTCTACAAGTGATCCTCGTCGAGTAGGTGTTGACGACGTTGTTCGCGACCATGTGTACGATGACGCGCTCGGTACTGCGCCGCTAAGAAATGCTGCCGCCACTTCCACGAGTGACTCCACGGCGTTTCGTCCAACGCGGCGCGTGCGCGAACCGCCAGGTGGCGTCGATCATTTCTTTGGAGCAGATGATACTGTAAGTGCCTTTTCTTAGCTAGGTTTGAGAAGTTGCAATTAAAACATGCTGCAGGCGCCAAGGGCGGATGAGAGTGTGCGCGATAACGAGCACGCTGACGGCCAGTCGTCCAATATCTACAGACCCAGCCGGTATTTGTCATATCTTTGGATTGGTTGGTAATGTGTATTCATTTAATTTTAGTCGGGTGCGGGATACGCCTGGCGGCCCTAGTTCGATCGGGAATTTGTGGGATGCGCCAGAAGAGAGCGTGAAGTACGTTATGAAGGCACCTGTTGCACTTGATTCAATATTCACTGTAATGTTTGCAGGTCTGATAAGAAAGTGAAAACTACTGGGGTGAGTGACTGACGGATCGGAAGTCTCATACGTACTCAACAACAACGATCTAGTTCTGGTGAATATAGTGTTCCAATGCAGAAAGTATGTATTGGAGATATAGTTGGGTATGGTGCTGTTCCTCGTATATGTACGTGACTGCAGGATGTACATCACACCGGTCGTTTTGTCTGGAATCTTTGATGTATTCAAGAGAAAAAACTGAAAATAAGTTACAAGCACGTCCATGATGGTGAAGGCGAGGTTCGAACTCGCGCGGGGTTTCCCCCATTGGGAAGCACAACTCTACGAGCTTAAATCCAACGCCTTAGACCACTCGGCCACTTCACCCTAAAGGTTTTTGACTAGCTTAAACGCTGTAGACGGCAGCAACGCGAAACAATACCTTCAATCCACCTCTAATATCCTTATTCACCTAGAACTGAGAACGCGGACATTCACACCCAAGCATTCCTGTAAAGCAAAGATCAAACTTATATAGCGGATGCTGTCAATGCGCGGAAGTATGTCTCAGCATTGTTATCGACGTTCTGTGATGAGCATCGTGAAAATGGCTCACCGACTTCTCTCAGACTTCCAGTGCTATCACCCGCTCAAACTATTCTCAGAACAAGCTTCATGCACGCTAGTAAGTTGCAAGTCAACAACTTCATAGCCAATTCGGAGGGAGACCTCACCATTGTTGCTTGCGTGTCCAGTCAGCCTCCTCGCCGTCATCTTCGTCGGCATTATATTCATCGTAGTGGCCGGTATCATCACCTTGGGTAATCGCAGCTTCGCATCTATCGCACGGCGAATTGAGCGCGACCGAGAACGCGGCCAGACCTCGACATCCCTGCTTCCCTGCCATCGTGGCCACCGCCGTCAGAGTTCGAACGCCCCAATTACCGTGGCGGTTTCTCCCTCGCGCCCCGTCGTTTTCGGCCCCGACCTCAACGAAAAGCCATCATCAGCTCACTCCAACACACTCGCCAGGGCTATACCCATCACAATATGCACCGTCACCCCACCAACGCCTGCAAAGAAGCAAGTTGTGGGACAGTGATCCGATAACACGGCGCGAACAGGAGCAGGCAAGGTGGTCGGTACCTGCGTGAAAACTCAAGTCGCACGACCACGACTGCAAACTATACCTTGAATCATGTACATGGCATCGCAGAGTTTTTTAAGCAACCACCCGTTACGAGTCACGTCCCATTGTCAATCCCAGCCCTTCCGGCGCAGCTACGGTACCTTTGCATAATAATTATTGCGCACAAGGCTTTATACTACTTCAGTGGATTCGAGAGAGCCGCCCCTTCGGGCACCGCGGAATTTCCAACGCTGAACGTCCAGTCAATTCGAGCGCAATCATGAAAATCAGAAGACCCACAGCGTCTGTGGCTGCCGAAAGATAATACAGGGAGAGCGGAACGACAGCCAGTGCAATAATCGCACCACGGGCGCTGCTACGAGTCCACTTAAAGCGAGTGTGGGTATTCTCACGCTATGTTCGGTCAATGGCTTGAGTGATAGGACACCTGCTTCCCTAAAACGATACGTACGAAAGCAGCAAATCTCTCAATGGCCGGATCCGTCTACGATGTGTGTGAGACCAAAGGAGACAATTAACACTCATCCATCAGGAAAATGAATCCTAGGACAAACCTTCAGGGTAGGGTAGGGGTGGTGTTCAGCGTGGGCCTCCGGCCACGACATCGTCCGAGTTTCTGCATCCTTGGAATTTTGTGAGCACCAACAAAAATAAAAGGGCTGTGAAAGACCAGCGCACAAGAAAAATGGGCAGGGCGTAGCGCCCCTTGGGCAATTCCTCGTCTCCCATGGCGGTGTCAATTCGAAGTTGTCGATGCCTCGGAAACGGAACCGACAGGGCCCGCTGATGATGGTTGATCTTGATCTCCTCAATCCGCCCGCTTACACTCAACCTGAACCTCCACAACTTTCTTGCTTCACACCATCATGACCGCCTACAATCGGGAGTGGGACAGGGGCAAGGAGGCCTGGGGTGCCGGAAGTACCGGTGCAGAAATGTATGGTGATAGCAGCTGGTATCCCAACTCCAATGTACGCCCACGCGACGACGATTTTCACGGCGACGGAAAGCGGCGCAAGTTCAACGCAGGAGCAAGTCCTTGCTTCTAGAGTTTTATGTTGTTCTCTGACGATGAAACCAGGGCTACGAAGCGCACGATGACTACAACAACGCCGGTGGAGGCAGCCAGTTCCAGCCGAAGAAGCGCCTGGTGCCTTCAGAACCCAGCCAGCACGTCATTTTCCTCGGACTGGATCCAGATTTCACAGAAGCGGACGTACGTCTAGTCCTCCTAGTTCTCACTGCGCGATGCTCACTTGAGCCATCAGCTTCAAGCATATTTGAAGTCGCAAGGCTGCCACGTCGAGTCGGTCACTATCATCAGAGAACGATCATCAGGCACTTCACCAGTCCTATTCTCGTTTACGCTGCATTGACGTTATTCGCGCTCCGATTTCAAAGGTGCTTCAAAGGGCTTTGGCTTTGCCCAGTTTGCGACGACAGACCACGCCCGCGCTTTCGTCGACCCGCTGTTCCCGTTCATATCCGTCCCGCCACCAGCTTCACACGGCGCTTCGGCAACGGCGGCATTTTACAAGGCGCTTAGCACGGGTGTGCAGAACACTGGCGGGAGACGGGTGAAGATCGATTATTCACAGAGCGCGTCACCCCACGAAAAGGGCCGATTAACCCGCGGCAACACGAACGATGGCACTCGTGACATTGGAAATACGCAAGGCCCTGTCCTGCTTGTCCGTGGTTTGGACCCGCTATCTGGTCCGCAAGCCATTCACCAGGCGATGCGCTATTCCTCAGGCTTCGGTCGCGAGGGTGCCAAAGGCATGAAACGCATCATTCTGATCAAGGATAAAGTCACGACGAACAGCTTTGGGTTTGGGTTTATCGAGTTCATAGACGTTCTGGTAAGCTCAGAGCTGTGTGGAACACCATTTGGATTCACATATGTATCATCTCAGTCTGCGTCAGCTGTCCTCGCTGCAACAATGGACCCGAAAATACATCCGGAGGGTTTCCGTATTTCCGACCGTCCCGTTGCAGTGTCGTTCGCCCATGCCAATTCATTCATGCCTGTGGCTGATGTCATGCTGCGAGACGAGGCGTCCATCAAGTCATCTATGTCTCTTGGTGGAGTCGAGGGCACTTTTGTTCGATATTGGGACGAAAGTGCGACTGTAGCCGTTTTGGAGTTTAAGGTGGAAGAGCCGACTCAAACTACGCTATCAAAGGAAAAAGAGAAGAAGAAAAAGAAAGGTAATTCAATTCGTGGCATTGTAGGTGTGTGAGTTGAAATTTCTCTTACTAGTCGAATTACCGGCCATCAAGCCTGTCAAGCCTGCTGCGCCGTCTGCTTTGCCGATATCAAGTAAACCTCTTGCGTTCAATTTCAACAAGGGCGCACCAAAAACAGCCGCAGGTGAACTACTTCTTATGTAGGTCCTCCATAACTTGATTAACTTTGTAATACAGTGAGACCAATCGGGTTTTCTATGGACGATGGGTCAAACGACACTACTGAGGAAGATGAAATGTCTATGGACAACAGGGGTGCGTTTGTAATCACACCAATCTATGTCAACACTACAGCCTCAACTATCTTCTAGCCGCAGCTTCTAAAAAGGTGGCACCCATGGTCGCGAGCAAGAAGGTAACATTCACTGCATGGACTTTCGATTGAGTTTTGTCAAAAGGTGGGAAATATGCAACTAAATCATATATTAGATTGCCGACAACATCTCAAAATGGAATCACGTCCAAGAAGAACTTTCAAACTCTACAACTGGTGGCTCTGTAGCCCCCGCTTCCTCTCTGGTGTGGTCTATTGATTCGATATATGTGCTCTCTTGAATCGTTTTTCTTACAATGAGTTCCAACCAGCCGGCAAGTGTTTCCACAAATATCGGCGCACCGGCATCGGCATCGGCATCTGCAACCACAACTAAAAGCTCTTCACCCGTGCCGCCAGCACCCTCCGACGAGGACCTCGACTTTGCGGATGTCTCCGGAAAGGCCTGTCTCCTCTGCTCCCGGCAGTTCAAGTCTCCGGAGCAGCTGCTTCGCCATAACAAGGAGTCCGGCTTGCACAAGGCTCGCGTTCTTCTGTGCTTTGACTGTGTGCTGTTCTGTAACTGGGCTGACGTTGTCTCCTTTTCTGTTCTTTTTGTGTCCTTACGTGCTATATCGCCGATTCCAACCAACGATGGCACCTTGTCCGCTTTCTGACATTGTCGATCAAAACAATAGACGAACTTACAAGACCCGAAGGCGAAAGAGACGGCCAAACAGAAGTTGCGCGCGCGACAACAGAAAGCGGCTGCAGCGGCGACGACGTCGGGGGCCGAGCAACAGCTGCCAAAGTACCGAGACCGGGCTTCCGAACGCAGGGTTCTCTTCAATCAGCCCGAGGTGCCGCTCCCAGAGTCCTCGTCCAGTGGGAGCAAGGGCGGTGGCGGCAGCAGCAGCCACAACCCCGCAGTGGGGAAACGACGGTACTACGAAGGGCCCGCAGCACCTCCGTTACCTCCTCCAGCACCAGTACACCCCGGCGAGGACGAGTCCAATATTGGCAATAAGCTGCTCAAAATGATGGGCTGGCAAGCCGGTACGGGCCTCGGCGTGGACGGTGAGGGCCGTGTGGATCCTATGTGCGTACAACCGTGTTACTTTTCGCCTTTCATCTGTGTTGTGCGATATCGCATCCCGTCTCTTGCGTTTTCTCGTCATTTCGCGACGTGAGGGCGGCCCGCACCGGCGGGGTGGCGAAGCTATCGCACGTCGTTGTCGATGGGATGAGTTATCTTGACAGATTTGGCTGACCGCGAAATGTTTTCTCGCACCTTGTATTGCAGACAAACTGCTGTATATGCTCAAGGTGTTGGCCTGGGCGCCAGTAAGGGCAAGGAGATCGGCAAATACACAGAAGGGTATTCCGGCTATGTCCATATGGCCCAGGATTCCGTAAGTTGCTATTTTCTATATCCGCCGCGATGCTCATGATATGACTCCATTGTCAGGCGCGTGAACGGTATAATAGCTGAGCTTCTAAGTTGCTTGTGCATTGTTCCCCTGTCAGTACTGCTAGGGTGTATTTTTCTTATTCAATCGGATTTCTTGGTGCATGTACGCATGTCATGTATCACAGAGTATGCCTATTACACTTTTTCGCGTTATATGACATTATATACTGTATTCGTCGAAGGTTCCAAATCAGACATTACCTTTTAGCCTATTTATGTGTTATGAATTCATAGTTTGATCTCTAAAGTGAAGTGTGCTGCGA